AAAAAAAAAAAAAAAAAAAAGGGGGGGGGATATACTTGGATGCGTCGACGACGAGCTCGGAAGCATCAGAGGCGATGAAGCGCGACGAGAGGGAAGGGAGTGGAGGCGGGAGAGAGAGAGAGCGCTACTCGGTTGCAAGGGCCGGGCTGACGGTTTCGGTCAGACAGGTGGAACGATGCCAACGACCCCCAAGATAGCAGAAGCAGCCTAGCCCAGGAACAGGCCCGAGGCTCTCGCAAGAAAAGGAACTCGGCTCTCTCCTTCTTTCCCTCGGCCCGGGCCCCGTCGGACCCGGTGAAAGTTCCCCGTTCCCATGACGACTCGAGCCTGATGCAATCGAGCCCTTGACCACGAAACTGGATCCAAGGCCTTCCTGGCTCCCCCGACGCAGAAAACGGTCCGATGGGGAATGAAGCCGGCGAAGCGCTTTCTCTCGTCGTCGTCACGGTGACTGTCGAAAGCGATATCTTCGATCCGTTAGTCATCCTTACGAACCATCGACTCATCGAGAAAAACACGAGATATCTAGGGCGAAGGTGTTTTTCAAAGGCGTTAATGAATCCGATTTCAATATCGGCGGCATCCGACTCACGTATCCGTCGACGGGGAATCACGTGACCGTAGGCGGCGCTGCGAGTCATCGGAGAAAAATGCCACGTTCTGGGAGAGGGAAAACCACTAATCCGGAAGACCCGTTGGCCCCCGAGCGGAGGAAGCCGATCATTAGGTGGCGAAGTTTAAAATCCACTAGAGAAAATGCGCGAGAAAAAGAATTCCCGAGTTCACACTTCCTCTCTCTCGTCCGGACGAGAGAATCGCGTCCCGTAATTAACGTTTGGCTTCGTTCCCTCCAGGTCCGTCCAAGACCGACGACGCATCGCCCGCGTCCGGCGCTTCCAAGCCGGAAGCAGCAGACGACGATTGCGATGCCCGGAAGAGAGAACCGACGTCCCTGGTCGCGTCGAAGAAGACCGACGAGAACCCGGAGATCAGCTCTCCGAGGATCTCGTCGACGGTGGACTCCCCGACGGAGAAGGCAGACCCCGCTCCCGCGATCGAAGAACCGGAAGCGAAGGCCCAGCAAGTCCCCGTGATCCAGCACAATCCCTTCCCCCCTTGCTACGACTCGGACTCGGACGAACCCCTGGACCTCCGACCGAGCAATCACAGGACGGAGACGGACGACCGGCGCTGTGGGTTCCAGGCCCCGAAACCAAAGAGACGCTCCGACCCGGGTCCACTGCCTCCGTTCTCGGACACCCTGCGAAGCATCTACGGAGTCCGGGGAAAGGAACCGCAGCAGCCTCTAGTCCTGAAGAGATCCGCGTCTCCGCCTCTCGAAGACGACCACGATCTTCCGCCGAAGGTGAGGTTCGGCCCGTACTCGGAGCATCCGGGTCCGCCACCGCAAGACCGCGGCTTCCCCATCAACTACATGAAGAAACTGACCATCTCGGAACCGGAAGCGGGTCCACCTTCGCCCTCGCCGGGTCGAGGGATTTCCGGTCCCATGGAACCCGACGTGGGTCCCCCGCAGCCAGAGAGCTTGAAGAACGCGATCGGGAGACCCACGCTGCAGGGAGTTCCGCCCATTCCAGGCCTCTTCGGCGGGCTGAGACGAAGATCCAGCGTGGAACTGCCGAAACTGTACGAGGCGATCCGGCGAGCCCAGGAAGAGAAACGAAAATGGATCCGACCGCCCGGCCACAAGACCGGGAAAAACGTGTTCGAAGGCCTCGGAGACGCCCCGAGAGCGAAAGGACGAACGGACATGAGCGGGGGCGGATGGTCGGGATTCAACGGCTTCGGCGGTAGTCCCGACCCCGGCGACCCATTCGGCGGATGGCCGAGTCAACTGCCCTTCCCGGACGACGACCTGTTGGGTTCGCTGACGCTTCAGTTACCGAACGGCGGGTCCGGATACGGTTCCCATTCCGAAGGAAGCCCCTTACAAGCATGCCAACCGTTCGATCTGCCGCCGGCCCAGCCGACGCCGGCGATGGAGGTTCCGGCCGCCAACATCCCCGTGTTGCCGCCCTTGAAGCCACCGGACGTGAGCTCCAGCCTGACCGCTCTCCAACCCGTGACCTCGGTTCCCCCCATGACCCCCGTCAGCCCCCTGCCCGCCCAGCCCATGCCCCAGCATCCGTCCCCGCAGAACCCCCCCTCCCACACCCCCCACCAGCAGCAGCAGCCCCACCAGAGCCACCAGACCCAGGCCAAACACGAGGACTTCGGCGACCCGCTGTCGCCTCAAGTGAGCTCCACGACTTCCATGGATGTGACTTCCAGCAAGGACATGAGAAACGTCCCTTCGCTCTCCGTCCGCGTCTCCATCCTTCAACAACGGGTAAGCTTTCGTCGCCTATCCGAAACGTTTTTCCCCATCCTTTTCTCTCGCGATTTTTTAATTCATGAATTTCTTCTTTAGTTCGGTAATTTAGTGGATTCTTCAATAAATGACGTTGACGCGTTCCAGCTTGGGATCCCCCCGAACGTGCCTCTGGAATTCGTGAACGGTGGGCACGGGATCAAGAACCCGCTGATGCCCCCCGAGAAAGGCGAGATGGAGAAGATGCCGCCCGTCGTCTGCGACGCCGACCCGAGCAAGTACGTCTGCCGGCTCTGCTCCAAGGTCTTCAGTCTCCAGAGACTCCTGAACCGGCACATGAAGTGCCACTCGGACGTGAAGAGGTACCTCTGCACCTTCTGCGGCAAGGGATTCAACGACACCTTCGACCTGAAACGTCACACCAGGACCCATACAGGTCTGACCCGTACAGTTCTCCCTCCTTTCCCGGTCGTTCATTAAAAAAAAGGACATTCCCTCATAATAGCGGGTTCGTGGGAGCGAAGCGATACTAGGATAATGAATGGGACAACTATGAATGGGTATCTACATACAGTATACAGCGATGCCTAGCCCTGATAGGGTCTACCGGGTAAATCAGTCCCTCCCTGCTCCTGTCCCGTCTCATTGTTTCCATTGTTTCGATGACGCGGACCGTCGCTCGGCTATGAAAGCGATCCCCATGGTAGCTCTCTAATGATTTCCCAAGGAATCCCTTGTATGCGGTGAGCGAGATAACGCACTCCGCAAGGCATGGGCCTTAGGTGTGCGGCAGCCTTGACTGAATTCCGATGCGGGCGACCCGGGGCGAGGAGCGAGGTGATGCAATTTTGGGGGGAGAAAGGTCATAGGGGGATCCAAGGACCCGATAAAGGTGTCCTTAACGCTTCCACGTTTTGCTCTCCGTTTTCCCCCTCTCCCCCCCCCCCCAGGGGGGGGGGGGGGGGGGGGGCCCCCCCCCCCCCCAACAGCGAACGCACGCACACGACTAACGACGGCGTTTTCCCTGACATTTCAGGTGTGAGACCTTACAAGTGCGGCCTGTGCGAGAAGTCCTTCACGCAGCGCTGTTCTCTCGAGTCCCACTGCCTCAAAGTCCACGGCGTCCAGCACAACTACGCCTACAAGGAGAGGAGGAATAAGGTATGCGAGATCCCTGGATGCATTTTGATTTTCCCCGCGACGGATTTGTCCCTGGATGGAATGGAAGTGGGTCAATGTCTCGCGAGAGAGACCTTGGAGGGGGAAAGAGGGTCTCGGTTACACAATCCCAAGTCCTCATGCACTCGTTTTTTTCCTTCCTCGTTGCGGTATAGGTGTACGTGTGCGAAGAATGCGGACACACGACCCAGGAGCCCGAGGTTCATTACGTGCATTTGAAGGACAATCACCCGTATTCTCCGGCCCTCCTCAAGTTCTACGACAAGCGACATTTCAAATTCACCAACGGCAACTTCAGCAACATTCTACTCCAAGTCCGGTCGTAGCAGACGGAAGTGGGGAGAGACGATCGTCGGTGGGTGAAATAAGAGAGAGGACAATACGCTGACTATTTTTCGTGTGTCGTCTTCGGTCCCTTGTCCGCATTATAAAATGAACCTGATCTCAGACTGTGATCCCGGAAAAAGCCAAACTTGCTTTACGGAACGTAAAAGAAAAATTTGGCGGCTTTATGGAAGTAACCTTGCACTCCTTAACGGAGGGAGGAACTTAGAAAAAAGAAAAGTGTTGCATCTATGGCATTATGAAATCATTTGCACCCTGTCCCTTCTCACGTTGTTCTGGGTCGACTGGTTCTCTCGCATGGGAATTCTTTTTTGTTCTTGTTCTGAAAGATGTACAGAAAGTACAGAGATCCCCATTATTATTATTTCCAGTGAATAGATAGTACAAATCTGTTCTGATTGTACATACATACGGGTGGAGTGGATGGGCAGTTTCTCTCCCCTTTTCCGGGCTAATAGCATTCATCCAACATGCATGCTGTTATTTGTGATTCTCTCCCCCCATGCATGTTGTTATTTTTGTTTCTCTCTCCCCCCCCCCCTCCCTCCCCCTCCCGATTTTATTTATTTCGCCCTTGCATACAGGGATAATATGTGCAAGGATGCGGCACGGTGTACATTGTAAGACATTGACATGGCTCTCGTTGTTCGTTCCCCGAGACACACACAGACACCTTGCTTGGTTCCAATTTTGTATCTCATCCTCATGGCATTGTGGGCTATTCGAGTTTTTTTTTTTGTTCACACATAGACACCCTCCCAAGTTTTTTGTGTGTGTGATACATGAACCCCAGTCCTCGTACCGACGTTATTTTGTACATCATTTGTGTCCCTGAGAAGAATTTAAATAAAAAGTAACCTAGATGACGTCTCGACTTTGTCTCTCGAATCACAACACGAATAACTCTGCAAATACATCTTATTGCAAAAAACCTCAACTGCAAGAAGAGAAATGGGGTCAGAAGAATGATCTTTGACCAGGACCCTGAGCAGATTCTGAGAAGGGTCTGCTCCCTCCTCTCTTGAATTCCACGATCCCTGAATGGGAGAAAAATAAAAGGGAAGATGATGAATGACCTTCCTGACTGCAGGGAAGAATGCATCATTGTTATTCAAACAGCCTCTTATGGTGGTGGGCGGGATGATTACCTTCGAACCATCACTGGACCCCTCCTCCTTTTGGAAACGCATGAATTTTCGATACCCTAGCTTATCGAGTGTGGAGCGACTCACCGGAGAAGTTGGACTTGAGGGCCCCATTCGAGAAGTCCAAATTTCGAGATGTATCTCCGGCAAAGTTCGACCATTCATCTTCCTGAAACGTGCAATTTTGTTTTACGTGAATCCGGTGTCAACGGGTACACGTGTAAACGAGATAGGAAACTATTAGCTCACGGGCCGGGGAGGAGGCATGATGTCGGCGTAAGTCACTTCCTCGTGGTTCCCATACTCGAGAAAAAGCACCACACAAGTCTGGGCCCCTAGGGCCGTCACCTTCGCTCGGTACCACTGTAAGGGAAAGCAAGGGTTCCGGCGTGAATCGTGGTTCTCCTTCCCGAATCGAACTTTGGATCGAATGTTTCTCGCAGAGTCTGGAGGAGATATCGTCGCTCCGACTCACCTTCCCGTCGTCCCAATACTTAGCCATGCATTCGTCCCCGACGGCGACGGGCGGCCGGGGATTGATCCGAGGCGGCGGCCGAGAGAGGTCGAGACCCGCTATCCCTTGCACGAGATTCGGCTCAGGTCTCGGTTCGGGCCTCGGTTCGGGTCTCGGCTCGGGCCGCGTCGGCGGGCCCTGCCATTGCAATTGCGGGTTCGGGGGCGGATAAGACGGGTCGTATCGGGGAGGGCGCCGGTCGGAGGAATCATCCCATCTGCGGCTGTTCTGGGAATGCTGGTTTCCCTGCCGAGGTTGGGTCTGGTTCATTCGTGGTCCGGATGCCTGATTCCTTCTTCCACCCGATGGGTTTTTCCTCGTTTCGTCCTTGGGGTTTTGCCAATGGTTGTCCTGCCACGGTCTGTCCTCATCTCTATCTCTATCTCTAGCCCGATCTCTGTCTCTGTCTCTGTATCTATCCCTGCCACTCCCTTGGCCTTGGTACGATTTGCCCTGGCTTCCCTGCTCTCTCTTGGACCAGTGATCCGGACCTTGAGATCTGTACGAAGTCTTCTGCTCCTGTCCTGAAACGGAATTCCGAGAATTCAAGGCTACTGACTGGGTTCGTTCAGCAATGATTCGGCAAGGTGGGGAGAGGACGCATGAGATATCCCCAGTGACCTTGAATCTCGGTAGCCCAGTACTCCACCGACGGGAAAAACAGTACGATGCTGTGGTTCTCCACGATCTCGTGCCATATCATTATCGAGCATTAAATTACCCTCTTTTATGGGGATCTTGTCTTGAAGGAAGTCGAAGAGAGTGGAGGGTGCGGACGGTCGGGCCGCTGGAACCGCCGTGTCATCCTCGTCTTCCCGTCTCCGCTCCTTTCTCACGCTCCTGCCTTCACGCCTCGCCTCTTCTTGCTATCAACACGTTTTCCGTTTCTGAATCGCATTCGTCCCGACACGACGCGCGAGTGGCAGGATCGTGACCCACCTGCAGATTGTGAAGCGCTCTATCCACGTTATTACGAGCGAACTTGAGCGCCTGCTCGGCCTGAGCCACCGAGAAGCCCGCATTCACGATCTTTTGAACACCGGCATCGAGCAACTACCCATCATAATACACGAGGAAATCGGTTCTATAAAATTAATCTCATTCGGACAATCGGCCGGGAATCGGGAAAACACGGTTCCATTACCTGCTTGTTCCCACCTCCAAAGACTTTCTTCCCTTCCGCGATGCTGCTCACTTCTTTGATTGTGGCCTGTCTCTGCTGTTCAAATTCATCATCACCTGGCAGAGTTGCTTTCGTGGTCTCTAGAGCCTTGTAAATGAAAATACCAGAATACGATTTGATAATAAATTAATTCAAGAGTAGACTTAACACTGCCAGACATTCAATACACAGCGGAAATAGTTTAAAAGAATAAATCACAGAAGAGTTAATTAATTACTATCTATACAATTACAATATATAATAAGCACATAAAGTTCAACTATAAACAAATTTGGGCAATAGAGTATCGGGTAATGTAATAATCCGCTAAATGGAATAAGATTTCTCAAAGAAAACGGAATTAAAATCATACCAAAAAATTACTCCCACCCCCGTAGGACTACTTTTTTTTTTAATCCTTAGAAGTGTCCGGGTTAAAAAAAAAATGTAACGCTGTATACAATGCAGCAGCAAACGATGATTGTACGAAAAATGAAAAAAAAAGAGATTGATTACGAGCTAGCCCCACGCACTGAGCCCTGCGTACATACAGGATAAAGAAACTACTCAGCATTAATTACTTGGTCATAACTTCTAAAGGGACTGCTCGATGCGACAGGTAATTGACAGAGAAAAGTTGCTGCCCCCCAAATTTTTCTTTTCAATGCCTGCCAGATGGCGGAGCACGTCAATAGGGAGGGGGCTGTGGTTGCATATGCAAAGCATGCAAAGCAAAGCAAAAACGCCGATGAAGGGGATGGAGAATCACGCTGGTATTTACCACACAAGGCACCATGCCTCAAATCCAAGTCTAGCAATATGTCATATTAATTCCGGGCTATTATCGGCACGGAAACTATGTAACTGTTATCACAGTGACTATTATTTACACCCCTTCTGCAAATGCACTGCCATCTGGTGAGCATGAAAAAACACCTTCTAGGTCCATCAACCTCTTCATTACATCAGCTGCATCCTTCAGTCCCTTCTGAAGTTAGGACCGAACAAATTGGTTGGCTTTTGTAACAATCCTAAATTTTGCCTGACAAGGAACCCCTTCAACCTTTTCCCGTGCAAGAATCAGTCATGATAAAATAAAAACATAACAGTACGTTAAACTTCCAATAAAATTAAAATGGAATGCATATTACTGTACACTGTAATGCATCTTCAGTGAAACGAATAAAAAAATTGTTTGTTGGTCGCATGATTATTCCATTTGGCAGTTTCTACTGTAATAATATACTGCATGGAGGCATAATATATGAAAATCACCTTAAAGTTTCTATCAGCTTTGTTCTTCAGGATTTTTTGGCCAAATGGGATCCAAGGAGGGGGTCCACCTTCTCTTTGTCCTCCCCGGTTCATGTTTTTCGCCACATTCTGTTGAATTAGAAACAGTTATTGGAATGAATTCTCCTGATTTTGTCAGTAATCAAGAGCATATTGCTGGGATCTCACCCGGGTGAGTTCCCATCTGTCAGCCAAGTCCTGCACACGTCCACCAAGAACTTCCACATTTCGAGGTTCAAGCAGGAGAAGTCCCTGAGAAACAGACACATCTCCGCCCTTCAGACGCACCTTAGTGCCTGGTGGGGTTTCCAAGCTGCACCAAAGAATTTGAATTTTACAAAATATAAGAATATCTTATCTCATGTCAAAACCAGACATGAATATAAAATATCTTTCACATTCCAAACAGTTGTACAAATCTAATCTTGCACTACACAAGATCATCACAGGGAATTCAGTGACTGAACGGAAGTGACCATATACTGGAGAATGACCTGAGGGCAGATAAATGCCGCAGCTCAATAGCTTGGCAATTGATGTGACCATCAGACAATTGAAGTTTGAGCATTCGAGGCGCATAAGCAGACTCTTCGTTGGCCTTGGGTGCACCTACATTGCGGATCTTCTGGATCTGCAGCACCAGATTCTCCTCTAGCTGCAAAAAACAAAACCCTTTGTCTTCAATCATTGCCAATGAAATTGCTAAAATTCTTCATTGTTAGCCAAGAGCTAACCGGGAAATCTCCTTTGGCTCGGGTGATATCATCTGGTAGGGATGCGCTTCCTATTGTCTTCAAATCGCTCTGCCATCAAAGAAAAGGATATAAGAAATATTGAAGAACAAGGCAGAAAAAGAGGAGTAATTCAAACATGTACATCCAAAGCAGCTTGCAGAATGGCTTCATATCCAGGTTCTTTCTGTCCACCTTCTTCTTTTGCAATGTCAATGCACTCGTCCAATCCTTCGGGACTCAGGTGCCTAAAGAGGATTCCAAAGGTCTACTTATAAAATTTTTTGGAAGAATTCAATATAATATATTGACTTATCAATACTGACCATCCCTCTCGAAGGAACCTGCGATTGATGTCCTCCTTTGATGGCATCTGGTCTAGGGATGTAATATGCCGACCAGTAATAGACAATGAAGCCCTGCTATTGAGTCATACGACTCAAGGCCTCTCAATAAATCAGTAATCCTGCCAAATATATTCATAAACCTAGAGCAGCTTTAAAGAAAAAGAGCAAATAGTCATTGGCAACACTTGGCAAAGATCAGGAAGATTAAGGAAAAGCACAATGATGATGAGCCACACATGCATTGGAGTAAATTGCAACAAGTGGAAAGATGAAGGTGAAATGGATGGATCAAGGCAAGATGCAGCCTCAGCAACTGGGTTCAGCTGCCCCATTTTCCTGTTTGTTTCAGGAAAATTGCAGATATTGCCACCAACTGTGGTCAAGGCTAATGCTTTATTTGCCAAGATGTCAATCTCCATTCTGCACAGCAGTACATCAACAGAGATTCAACAGCTGATAAGTTCATGCAACTCAGTAATATCCTGTATTTAATTCCAAGTTTAAGTTTTATCAATTAAAGCGACCATGAGTTTGCAAACTGCCATCATTTTCATTGGAAAGGCAGCAAAAGAAGAGACAAGCCATGAACTTATGATGATGAAAGCATGCAGAAGTGAGGATATATCCAAAAAAGACAGTCATTAATGCACAAAATATTTTGTTTCAATATTTCAATTTAGATTGGTAGACAGGGATCTAAACATGAACAGCTTCATACTTTGCCTGGAATTTGCAACAGATTTCTCCTTAAGCTTTATAAGTTGGACTGCAAAGTATCTTACAAATCATATAAATACAGAGTGAGATATGAAAATGACTTTAGGAGTGCAATAAATGTCTAAAAAACACTTTAACCATATAATAGTGCATTAAGGTGAATAGAAATGAGTTATACATGCAGAACATGACAATTAGACACATCAGTATCTGCTTCAGAATACATGGCTATTGCAGTGCACATTCTGAACTTCAAGGAACTCTGCTCTTGACATATAGAGGGAGTTCCTCAAGTAGCAACCTGTGGGCATGTCTTCTCAAAATCCTATAAGCTTTCTGGGAAACCTTCTACTAAGTTGAATTCATTACCATACTCTGAAATAATTCTCTATACATTTCATAATATTGACTGTCAAGTTAATCAACCTCCTTCAATGGCTGTAAAACTTTCATTTTGAAAGATCCAACCAATTTCACAAGCACTTTTTAGATTTTAAAAAAGCTCATGTTTGTGGGTTTTCCCTCCTATTGTCATTACACTGTGAGAATTGACACCAAGGTCTCCCTCTCCTGAGTGTTGTCCTACACTAGGTGAACCTTCAAGTATATCCATAAGTTGCCTTTGTAGGAGGTAAACTAATATGATAACCTCCATAAAACATATATTCAAGAGAACAAGTGATTAAATCTATTAGAAATTTCTAACAGATACTTGCATATAAGATGGGATGGATAACTATAACAATGGGGGAACAAAATCAGCTGATGGCATCATGTGGTAGGATCTATCACATCATATTGCTATAACATCCTTTGTCCTTTCACCATTATCCCATGGGGATATGCTCAGCCATGTGCAGTGAATATGATGTGCTTATTAGGAAATAGGCTCTGCCAAGTCATCAATGGCTTCCTTGTAGGGTAATTGTTGGATTCAATGTAAGCAGGCAATCTTGAGGAATTGGCTTAACATCACAATCACAAGGAACTTCGAGCCACAGACTTGACTGCTTAGCTCAACATTCCTCATTATTTTCCCACGTATATCAAAATGAATCTCTCAAAGACCTTGTTGACCAGAGTCCAAATTAAAAGCAATTCATAAACCATACATTGTTGCATACAATCCACAGACAGAGGGAGAAACATAAGTTCAGCAAGACAATATGGTCATAGAGGGATTTAAAAACGAAAAGGCACAATAGACCACTAGCATGTGCATAATTTCAACATGGGAACACCCAGTGGAGCCCTTAAAAGTTTCTAGTAGCAATTTAATTGGGCTGAGAGGAAGGAGGACTCAGAATTTTTATCACTCTTCCAGCAATCCTGCATTAAGAAGAAATTATTGTTTCAATACTGTCACTCAAACATCACTGTATGATGCATGTCTAGAGTTGATGTAAAAACATATACATACACAGGAGGCAGACAGAATGAAAATGGATGGTGCCAGTGCTGCACAAGGAAATTCATTAAGTGACAGATGCATGCTAGTTGACCTTACACTTCTATTTCAGTCAGGTACAAAGACTACCTAGTGCTCCATCACTTTCTGCCAGCATTCACTTCAATCCCTACAGCCTGAATTCAGCTCTAGCTTTCTGAAAAAGCAATTCCAAGAAAGGATAGAAAAAAAGAGCAGAAATAGATGACTCAATTTATGACCTCCTTTAACTAGGTCTTAGCTGCAAGGCTCATCAGGACTCATGAGTTGCAGGTTGACAAGCCTGAATCTAGCTGATCAACTTATTAAATGTGAACCTCAGAGAGTCTAGGGGACAAATGTGTTTAAAATAAAAGAATTTTCACTCTGCTTGTATTTCCTTGAGTTCATCATGTTTGCATTATAGTGGGAAAAACTCAGCACAGTCAATATCCATCATGGTATTCGCCAAAGAAAAGTGGCTTCTTTCAACCTCAAAGTACACATAAAAAATCATGAAGCAGAAATAACAAATGATTAAAAAAATGATCAGTTGAAACCCCTATGACTGTAGAGATTTAAAGAGTCATGAGGAACTGCAGTCAATCTCCTGAACTTACTAAACAAAAGCTGAGTCACAACTCTTACTTTTTCTGTAAAATACTTAATTTTTTGTGTAAATCTATGTGTTAACAGACAAACTTCACTTTCTAAAGTTCAAAGATGGAAGAGCATGGTGGAAGGGAGGAATAGACATCATTACTGACAAGGTAGTAGATTCTGTCAAACTCAAAATCAAAGATCCCAAATTTTTCCTCGTCTCATCTACTGGGTCAATCCTCTTTTGATTGAAAGAAGTACACAGAAATAGGAGACACATCCATGTGTTCATTATTGTGTATTCACAAGTGTAATCTTGGGCCAAATTTAAAGGCATCTTACTCAAGTGTACATGCAAATATGTTCCATTGCTATCATGCACATCATTCTCAATAACAACTGAAACAAATGCAAAGAAGAAAAGGTCTATCTCTTTGTCTTCAAAAAGTTTTCCAGAGGACACAAAAACTTTGCCTTCCAGGCTTAGTCCCTATTGCCTAGGGTAAAAGAGGGCTGTGGCAGCTCATGACCTTCCCTGGAGGCTAGGACATGATTTTAGTAAACAAGGCCTATCTCTTCATGCTCTCATTCCTTTTCACCTGCCCTATTAAACTAAAACCAGGGCTTCAGAATCGAACAAAACTAGAATAATAATAAAAATGTGCCAGAATGAAAACCACAGGTATTTTCAAAATAAGGTTCAGCCTACATTGCCAGCAGAGTCAGAAGTTTCTGATCAGATATTGTGAAATTTATGCCGACCAAACATAGCTAATGACACCAAAAAGACAAAGCTGATTAGTGATAAAATGAAAATTGAAAACTCAACAAGTCTTATGAACAATGTTGGATTAAAAAATGAATGTATTCATTAGTGTATTCAAATGAGTCAGTCAGACTGGACCACAAGATGTTTTTACAATATTGTCCATAAACATTAGATTCACAAACAATCAATACTGAAATAACAAATACTAGAAAATGAAAGCAGACTCTAAAGCATCCCTATCATGGATGAAAATTTGAACTCAACAGTTTTTGAAACAGGCAAGAAGTTTTTTCTTATACAATTAAAAATGGGACTTTCCAATGTAACAAAGAAATTTTTATTTTTTATTTGTTAACATAATGAAATCACTCATTTGAACATAGCATATGGATGCAGTGGAGCTTCCATTGCAAGAACCAAAGCAAAACAGAAACCATATTTCAAATTTTCAGATTCCCTAGAGGAAAACATAACTCCCCTTTGCAGGAATTGAAATATTGAAAGAGATGCATTGGTTTATGCTGATAGTGTAAAATGAAAGTCAACAAAGAAGAAACTGAGCCCTATGCAATAAAAAAGTCCTTTTTTTTTTTCTTTGAGAGGCTGAAAACTGATTTTTCCTCCTTCCTCTGCTTTTGAAATATTAACTGGAGCTGATTTATGACTTCCTACATATGAAAAAATCAAGGATAGTACACAATACCTTAGTCAGGTCAATTGAAAAAGAGAGAGAGAGAGACATTCAAGCACTAAATGAGGATCTGGCCAAATATGCAATTTGTATGCAATGTATTTTTTCTTTCTTTTTCTTCTTTTCCCAACAGGTTTTCCAGCTTATCCAGAGAACCTTAAGTGTATGAGAAGATGCAAAAGGGCAGGAGTTCATTAGTCACATCAGCTAGTCTACTTACCTTACATCATCATGCATCAGGTAGAGTCATGTTTGAGTTGAATGAGATACTTGCAATGCCATTGGATCAAGCATGTCTAAATCTATTGAGATCATTCTGAATGGGAAATGTGCACATTACCAGTATAATCATGCTTAGGAAAAGAGAACAAAAAAACTCCAGCTGCTGAATTTTGAAACTTTGTGTTCACTATTTTTAAGCTGTTTTCCTCCCTCCAAAGAACAGCACCTAACCTGTCAATGCTCACGAGTCACCATTGAAGAAAGGTAATGATGTTTCACAATTGGCAGTACTGTCCATAGACAGTGCTCCCCAATAAATAACTACTACAAAATATAAATCTTATAGATATTCAACAGGACATACAATCATACATGTGATAAGGCCAAGCACATGGATCCCTCGGAGTGGAGTGTGATCATCAAACATGGCTCAAATGGACCAACATGCTTGCCAGAAGCAATCAAGGTTTGTTCAATCAGGCATATCAATGTGCATGGCAGGTGAGGGAGCTTTGGAGTCGGACTTTCTGACAGAGACTTCTGTAGACTTTTTGGCAGGAGATCCAGCAGAACGAGTGGGTGAAACCTGCTCCACTGCCCAGATAAGATAGATATCAACACTGGACCCTAGGAAAAAATCAACACACTCTTGACCAAACACTTACATGATTCAGAGTGTTCATCATTGTGAATACTATATGAGATGTTCCCATACTCCTGAAGACATGGACACACCCCAAGGAGAAAGTGGCAGAAGTCCTTCCGAATCCCAAACCACCCTAATGGGAAAGTATGTTATTTTCATGCCAAAGCAGCACTCAAATCAAGAATGTATAAATATGAAAACTCACAGTAATTCCCAGCTTTTGATCCAAATGCCATGCATATGAGGGTGGTGAATGATACAAACAGAGGGGACACTACAGCAGTGTAAGTGAAGGCTGTATCTCCATCCAATTTATTTGCAAGCAGCACCTGAAAATTTTAAAATACTAGTACTGCATTTATAATTATGAACTCCCTAATCCAAGACACCTGAGGAATGACATCAGCCTGAATGCACAAACCTCATTCAAGCAAGATAAGGAGGCCTTTAAGCTAAAGAGCTCTTTTCCCCCCATAGGAATCCATATATTCTTAACACGTTCACTGCCGATGACGCTCATTTCAATGGAAAGGATAATGACGTGATGTGTCACCGGCAGTGAACGTGTTAAAGGACTGTTAACTAAAGAAGGTTACAACACTGAGGCCTAAGGATGCACTGACACTGATATCAAGTGTGGGATATTGGCTGATGTTGTGAGGATTAGTGAGGATTATTATCAACTGATCTACCTCCCCTAATCCTGTTCACATTTTTAGTTTCATCTCAGCAGGCCATAAGTCTATCTCCCTTTTTTTTTACAGACCTTGCCCAAAAGGAAGGCATGAATCTCTCTCTCTTCCTCTTCTCAACTATCCAGAAGAGAATGAAATCAGAACGAGGGGTTAAAATATGTTATATCCATAAATCCCTCTTTGGTATTTACAAAATTTGCACCCAGATTAATAACTGGTCCAGGCTTCATGAATATCATACAAGAATGGTGCCACCTAATTCTACTTCATTTTGCCAAAAAAAAAAAATGCTGGTATTGGCCAATACTGAAGAATTTGATAAGTATTAGTATAGTGCATACCTGAAACAGTGCAGTCCTAAGAAACATGCATCCTGGAAAGATCTCTCACCTGGAAAACAAGCATTGGTACAACTAAAAAAGTGTATCCAATGGCTGAATGAACTGAGGCACGTCTTTGATCCAGATTCACTTCTGCTGTCCGCCACACAATGCTGGCAAAGATGACAGCATACAAGACTCCAACCAAGGATATGCACATAACAATCCATAATGGGATGAACACCACTTCCCAGCCCCAGCTGATGAAGCCATCTAGCTTCAAGGCGAGGAACACAAACTGCAGTATGTTCACAGCACAAAAAAGTTCCAACTGTAAGAGAGGGATGAGGTTCATTACTAACATCTGCCCTTCATATGGTTTGCAAACATAAGAAAAGACCTGTCAGTAATTGCCTACACATACCTCAAAGGACCTGTCATGTTTGACAGCCCATATGCATACAGCTACTGAGATTATTGAAACAAAGATGAGTGGGATGAAAACAAGGATCCAAAGATGGTGCCCTGATTCCAAGTTATCACAGACAAGCAACTCGAACATGAGCAGAAGCAGGTGCAAGGCTAAGCTTATCAGCATTGCCTTGTAATGGGTATAACTCTCACCTTCCAATCTAGAAAGAGAACCAAGAGAGGGATTTTATCATGATTCTCATGAATTTCACTCTTCCATACTATATTCAGCCATGGAAGGTATCTCAACAGAGATAAGAATGGTAATGGCCTAACAATCATTGAGGATTCAATGATTTAAGTCATGCATCCAGAGTGGATATTTAAAAAATGTTGACAATTTCTTCTCATCCTAAGTTTCCATAACTTCAAAAATAGAGACATTAATAAAATTTCAAGTTCCTAAAAATGGTTGACTTTGATGCATATTGAGGAGAAATCATGCACAAAAAAGGCCAAAAGAATATGCCTTTGATGGAGAAAGTAGTCATTTCCCAAGAGAAAAAAAGTTGTGCTATTCTGAATGTCAAGAGAACTTCCAGAAAGTCTCACCTTGACTGTGGATATTTCCACCATACATAACTCCCAAAGCCAGCTCCTGAGATGGCAAGGATCTTCCATACCCATATGGGCAGAAAAACTGCCCAAAAGCTCCATCCAATGCGGTTGTCAAGACGAAGGGCAAAGAAAGCAGTGAAGAGCAGCAGACATGTGTATACAATGAATTTGCTGAAAGAGAAATGTTGCAGCCATATTACATACTAAATAAGCATAATTTATTTATAGAATTGGTACTGATATACCTATATATCAGTACCAATACTGTACTGATACACCTGTTTAACCTTCCCATGCCTTTCAATCAATGCAGCTTAACCCTCTAGGGTGAAAGCATTCTTTACTGTTCTACATTAACATTGTGACTTTTCCAGTAAATCCATAACATTTAGTCTTAGTTTCTTTATTGTTTACCCTCTAACAAGGTATAGCAAAAATATTTGATGAGCTTCACGATACAGTATCACCAAACCATTCTGACATATCTTCAGCACTACATAGGTAATCTCTACCTATGTACCTTCATGAATATTCACTATGCTACTCTATGTTGCATTTCTCTTGATGCCTTGCTTTCCCATTACCATGGGTAGGTAATCCCCAAAAAGGTCTGTTCATGTAATTACTCTGTAAAGTCCATTCACTTGGAAAAGAAGAAGTTAATCAGCTCTCAAAGGCTGATCCTTCGCTTGGTTAACCTTTCAAGCACATCCAATGTCACTGTGACACACCCCAAACTAAGGTACTTAAGATATTATATAGTGAAAAGTAGCCCAAGTTTAAAAATAACAGGTACCATAGGTCTTATTTGCAAAATGTCATTCTCTGAAATTGAGTCTAAGAAAATGAGCAGGGTCTGTATGTTAAGTTAATAGGCTTACACTGACTTAAAAAGGTGCTATGGGCTGAGGCCATACCTTGGGTTGAAATCTTGAAATAGAGACTGTAAGTTCATGAGCAGAATCTCATGGACCAGTCTTCACAATCCAAGTGGATTTTCATATCACTCCTGGAGATTCTGATGACAACCCATTGATACCTGAAATCATGATTTTATTTTGAATTTGAATTTTTTAATTAGTTATTTTATCACCTTAGCAATTACAGTTGGCAGTGTTGAGTGGTAATGAAGTAAAAGTAATGCATTACAGTAACTAATTACTTTTTTCAGTAACTTTTTGGGTAATGAGTTACTTTTCAGGATAGGGTAATGGAACTAGATACTAGTTCCTTTTTCACTGAGAAAGTATGTGACGTTACTGTAAGGCATTCCTTTTCTTGCTGATTAACTAATTTTGCTGAAAACAACCAGTGCTTCATGATTACATGCATCCTAATTGATGCCAAATTGGGAGGGGAGGGGATATGAAATTGCCTTGAGAAACCATAGTTTATTCAGTGCAGCATTCTTCTTCATTATACCTGAAAAATATTTTGAAGTGCAGGAGGTTAGGAACAAATTTGAGAGTTTCATCAATACAGTGGCATATTTTATGATGGGAGGGGGCCACTGGGACAGAGCCAGGCAATAGATCCAGGCTTAGAGGTGATAACTTTCTCTCCTGATATTGCTCGGGTGGGGTTCTGGCTCTGTTCCCCTGATCCTTCAGTCAAAATATCTCACTGTATCGATGCAAACTTATGTGTGAAGTGCTCTCTGTTTCCTGATGACCAAGGTACTTTTTGTCACACAAACTTCAACATCTAACTTGAGAAAGTATGTCTAGGTGATCATCCTCCATCATGTCCTGACTCCATCCAGACAACCTTTTGTCTAACATTAGGTTTCAATGATAGAAACTGCTTTGGTTCTGATAGTGCATCTGCACAGAAACCTTTTGTATACCTAACATTGGCACCTCTCTCCTCAATTTTGTCCTATCCCCTTTAGGCTCGGCAGGTGGGTATATCCTATCTACCTCCTCATATTTCAAGTGCTCCATTTTATCACCCTCCTAACAATCCATCATTAGTTAGACTCTGTTAATACTTAGGCCTAGCACTCGCACTTCCAAGGGTAGAACCTAACTTAACAGTGATTAGCAGGTGAATTTGTATCACTTTTAACATGAATGCCTCAGACCCAATTCCCCATATTTCACATGGTTGAAACACCCTCATCTCCTTGATAGCACCATAAAAATACCATGTACATTGTAAATAGTGAAAATTCATTTTCGATCAGTGTATGGGCTGGATTTTTGCAGTCTATGTCTGGTTAAGGGAAAACAAGAGAACATGACTTCGGTTTTTTCTACTTTTCTACCTGGAACTCATGATAGAGCAGGCTGGGGTAGGTCTTCCCATCACCAATGGCAAAATTGGAATTTTTTAAAACTAAAGGGTGCATTCTGACTATCAGCATATAATTCCTGTTAAGTAGTCCATGGTATGGGAAGAGGCACAGTGAAAAGAATGAGCATGAGTATTTATCCAGTTAAGCTGAACTGGTCATAAAATGGAAACTAGAAATGAAATCAGGGGGAACTTTTGCTTTCAGTACATGCATCCAGTTTCTGTCAAAGTGGAGAAGCTGTAGAAAGTTCAGAATTTTTGTTCCGGAAAAGTAACTTCTACTTGTAACTAGTTACTTTAGGTGAGAGGTAATTCTACTAGTAAATAATTACTTTTTGGATGGAATACTTGAAATTGTAACTAGTTACTTTTCACAAGTAACACACCCAACAGACAGTTGGCTATGTCAAGCAATCATTGTCATGGTAAGGACTGCAGCACATGGATAGACTACCATCTAGTCTAAGTCTAACCTAGTCATAAGGAATTTTCTTTTTCAAAACAACTGCTCCTGCCATATTACCAAGGTTAAAGAGAGATTGTCATTTATGTCAATGCATACCATATAATTCATTTATTGAATTATTTATAGGCCTATACATAAGTGGCATTTAATTTCAATGTTCTTAAGGTATGTCCATACTCATACTAATTATTGACTATAACACTTGTCTATATTGGAATTTATTGTGTTCTAGCCATTTGAACTTGGACTTGTACCTCATAGTTTGTCTGAAGAGTCTATATTTCTTGGTAAATATTCTTAAGGGCTTTTGTACATGGTTAAGGATAGAAATGACTGTACAAGGTTTTCCTAGTGAAAACAAAAATTCATGGATATATACTGAGATTGCTGCTTCGAGGTCAATAGTTAGCTTATATTAATTATTGAATTGTTGTTAATGTTAGGTAACCACTCATAATATATTCCGCAATAAATTTAGAGCACAAAGAGCCTTTTTTTTTAGGAATTAGATCAAATCCAATCATAGCATGAAATTTTCCTAATTCCAGCTTGTCTCTCACGTCCTTAGGCTTAATCACTTTAGCCTATAGTCCTACTACTAGAGCAAAGTCAAGAGGTCAATTGAGACAGCCAAAAACCCTGGTCCAAGTTTGATGGGAAAATTCAAAACTATGGAAGTGCTACAAAAGCCGACCACAGCCAATCACAGCCTCTTAAGCACCTTAAATCTACCATCTTCTAATACAGTTATTCTTCTTAACCTGCTGAATGCGGTTTAAGCAATAATTTCCGTTAAGGTACGCGATCTAGATTTATTCTGTAGCGTTGCCACTGGCGCACCCCTGAAATGCATGCAGCCATTTTGGATGCGTTAGACTGCGCTTGTGGGTGGCCTGTCGCCCGCGCTAAAGTTCAAGGCTGAGCCGGTATTCATGGACCAACTCAAGTTACATGTATTAGGCAACTTTTTCGAGTGCCAGTTGATCAAGATCAATGGTTTTTCTGAATGTTATATGAGAATGAATCGAAGAATGGATTTTGCCTACCAGAATTTTGCCTACCAGATGGTCTTGTCCTGTAAGATATGGCGGCTTGGGGAGCCCGGCAACTATCAGGGTTTTCCTGACATGCTGATTTGGGACAGTGCTCGTGATTTATATCCTAGGCCTACGTACATTTTTGCCATCCTTCTCGTCTCCTTCTCCTTTCAATATGATGCATGTGTTTTATGGTTCAGTCAGGCTCTGGGGTTCAGAGGAAGGAGCAAATAAACGTAGCGTGGATGGAAAAAAGTAGTGGAGGACTTGGGAATGTGAATTGAAAATTTCGTTACCTGTATCAGTTACAATCAGGGATGAAGCATTGTGCGATTCAGTTTTGGTGTTCCTATCAGGCTGACGCCCCAACTATGTGGCAAAATCTATTGCAGAGATGTCAGTGTCAGATTTAGCTGAGGTGGATACGGTTGGGTTCTGTCAGCCATGTCGAATGATGTGAATGATTCAAATATCCCCCTATTGACATTAATCTTTTACATTCCATGAGTATTTATGCAGGGAGATGTCATTCAGTTGACACAAATATCTGAAGAATTATTGGTCAAATGGTTATGCCTACTGTATATTTTCATTAACCAGTTGTATCACATATAAATAAATTATATCTTGTCTTCTGAAATAGATCTTGACAAGAGAAGGCTGTGAAAGTATTTAAAGAGCCATACAAGGAGAAAGGAAATGGAAAAGAATGATGGAGACCAAGATTCTACTGATCGTGAACTTGTATCATTTATTGAGCAGGGTTCAAAGCTGGACACAGAAGCTGATGGTATGTTTCTATATTCTATATTTCATTATTTCTTTTTATCATGCCAGTAGTATGTAGCCCCATTGTCAGAATGGGGACTCCTGCAGAGCAGGTTAATGTATAAGTCCTGGTAACTCCACTGTAAGTGTAATTTATAGAAAAGAAAGCTACTCATCCAAACTGTATGCAATTCAGCACCCATGGAAATGCTGTTCACAATTTGAAAATGTAGCTTGGCAGTGGCTTTACTTCTGCCAAATGGACCTGTTTTGATCCAGTAAAGGATTACTTCTCTTTATTTATTTTTTGATGTAAGCCTATTTCTTATAACTTCAGAGACCTAATGAATCACCTTCCTTTGTCATTTTTATCCTAAAAAGACACCATGGCTCTTTGACCATGGACTTGAAGGAAAACAAGAGAAAACTATGATTTAAAAAAACATGAGCAATGGTAGGGTATGAACCTGGGTCACCCCATGCCCAGAGCTTCATGTCCTTCTCATGTACCTTGCTAGCAAAGAGTGCACTTTAGGAGACATTTGTAGGTCTATGGTCTGGGCATATTAGTCAATGATTATCCTAGGATATGACAGACTCCATTTGCTAGTTTTCCTGGTACTATCATCTAGGTTTTCCCAGGTAAGAGAGAATTGGGCTGTAGATCTGCTACTTCATTGCTTGAAATCAGGATGGCATTGGAGATTGCTGTGAATTATTCCCTTGTAGTCAGGCTGTATAGTTGCAGGAAAACGTTTTGATTTTGTTCTGGTTCCCAGCTGCGAGCTTGATAGCAGCCATCAAGCAATGCCCGAAGCTGAGAGTACTCTGCTTGCAAGGCAATTCCATTGGTGTTGAAGCAGCCAAAGGGATAGCAAAGGCTTTGGAATCCAAGCCTGATTTAGAAAGAGCTCAATGGAAGGACATGTTCACTGGCCGCCTGAAGCAAGAAATCCCAGAAGCTTTGGTTTGTGCAAGGGGAAAGCTTAATCTTTTGTATGTCAATGAGAATTATTTGTCACTGTACTTGCCTTCCTTTTTAGACATACTTGGGAGGTGGTCTGCAGCTGGCAGATGCACATTTGGTTGAATTGGATCTGAGTGACAATGCCTTGGGTCCCATTGGAGCAGAAGGTGTCAAAGTTCTTTTAGAAAGTTCAGTCTGCTTCTCCCTTCAGGAGCTAAAACTGAACAACAATGGTCTTGGCATTGAGGGAGGCCAGGTTAGGAATCCTGCTTCCCTTTCACCTTACAAATAATATATGAACTCAATATGATTTTAATGCTATTTTGTGATATTTTGCATCCTGATTGATTTGGCAGATTGTGGCAGCAGCTCTTCTGAACTGTTATTCCAAGAGTGTTGAAGCTGGGAGGCCTCTATCCCTAAAGACCTTCATTGCTGGGAGGAATAGACTTGAGAATAAAGGTGCCATGGCATTTGCAGATGTTTTCAAGGTATGTAACTCTCACTGAAAATCCTGTTATCTACATGCTTGGACTTTTGAAGGCATGGTTGTTGTAAGAATAACAAAAAAAATCATTATACCATTTGCTTTTCACAGCGAGTGGGAACTATGGAGGAAGTTGGAATGCCACAGAATGGTATCTATCATCAAGGAGTAACATCTCTTGCTGAGGCATTTGAGAAGAATCCTAATCTGCATACTATCAATCTCAGCGACAACACAATAGTTTCTAGAGGTGCTCGATCATTGAAGGGAGCTTTGGCAAAATTGTCAAATTTGAAAATCCTCAATCTTGGAGATTGTCTCCTCAAGGACAAAGGAGCAGAGGAACTAGTGGAAGGTCTTAAGGCTCCCCACCCTCACTTGGAAGTGAGTGCCAAAGACTGCTTCTCTTTCATTCATTGATGAGCTTCATTTTTTTCCCGTTTCTCTTCTTTATTATAAAAACATGGAGGTTGCCTCTGTAAGTCATCAGTGCGTAATATTCTTTAAATTTTAGAAAAGATTAGATGCCTTTCTCAGTATATATTTTCTGACTTCCTTTAATATAAAAATGGAAGCTCCTTATTCTAAATCATATGAACCCTGAAAATGAGACAGTTTCCCTCATGCTATTATGGTCTCTCTTAAATAGGAAGTGATTCTATCTTCCAATGAGATGTCTGTGAGCTCTGCCCTCAAGATTATTCCAGCACTGGAAGATGCAACAAATTTGAAATGTTTAAACTTGGATGGAAATTGCTTTGGGGAATGGGGCATAGAGAAGATCCGAGAGAGATGTCATGAGTGTGGACTTGAAGAAAACCTAATTTCTTTTGAGTAAGCTGAGAATCTTATTCCTTACCAATACAATGATTGATGTTGTCAAGCAGTTCCTATGCACAAGTGATAAAAAAGAGCTGATCAAAGTCAGAGGATTAACTCTCCTTTCACCTCTTCTATGTATGCAGTGAAGATGAAGGTGAGCCTGATGAAGAAGAAGAGGAGAGTGGTGAAGAATCAGATGATGAGGAATCTTCAGAATCGCTAGATGAAGATGTGGGAGCCACTGATTCCACCCAAACTGCTTCAACAACATCAGCTGACTACAAAGTAATTTTGGAAATCTGTGTCAAGTTCTTATCTGTAGATGCATGATGACTCTTCTTCTGGTCTTCCTAGATTGGGGAAACAGCCCTTTCATGCACACAAATGAAAGGCCTCTTGGACCAACTTGAGATAACCAAGCTTGATGACACTGCCATCGGGGGCACCCTCAGCTTTGCAGGCAGGGGGCTCAAGCTCAACAATGAAGATGATGGTGGGGTATCCCTTGAAGTTATTAAGCATGAATTTAATTGACTATATTATGAAGTTGCATAGGTTGTAACTTGAAGTTTTTCTTCTCATTTTGCTGAAGCCAAAGAAGTGATTGAAGCAATTGGAAACCATCCTAACTTGCATGTATTGGAGCTGGAGGGAAATACTATTGGTGTTGAGGCAGCTAAGGGGATAGGTCAGGCTTTGAGTAAACATCCAAACCTGCAGAGAGCCAGGTGGAAGGACATGTTTACTGGTAGACTTAGGCAGGAGATCCCTGATGCATTGGTGAGATCATAGATAATTTTGCCCCTTTTCAGTCTGGATTAGACTGTGTTCCCTTAAATCTTGCAACACTTTCATGCACTTCCTTTATTTTTCCTTGGTGGTGGGCTCAGAAATTCCTCGGTGAAGGCCTTCAATCAGCAGGAGCCCAATTGATTGAGCTTGATCTCAGTGACAATGCCTTTGGACCTGTTGGAGCAGCAGGTCTTAAGATCCTTCTGGAAAGTCGTGTTTGTCAGTCTCTTCAAGAGCTCCGACTCAATAATAATGGACTTGGGACTCAAGGAGCACAGGTTGGTTATCCTATCTGATTCAAAGTGGAAAAACATTGAATTTCACCATATTTTCCTTTGAGCCACCTGGGCCTTCCTTCCTTCCTTTCATTGAATCTGATAAACTGTGATTGTTATGCCTTGGCTTGATTTCACAGATGGTTTCAGATGCTCTTCTCAAGTGCCATGAGAATGGTTCTAAGGTCAGACAACCACTGGCACTCAAAACCTTTGTTTGTGGCAGAAATCGTCTGGAAAATGGAGGAGCAATAGCTTTTGCCAAAGTTTTCAAAGTAGGTTCTAGATGAAAGTGTCTCCTCATTTTGGACACTTTTTTTCATGATTTAATTCGCTAACATGTTCTCATTATTTCAGGCTGTAGGTACTCTTGAAGAGGTTTCCTTGCCTCAGAATGGGATCTACCATGATGGTATTCATGCCCTGGCTGATGCATTTTCCCACAACCCTAATTTGAAATGCCTCAATTTGAATGACAACACTGTGATGCCTTTGGGTGCTGAAGCCTTGAAGAAGGCTTTACTTACCCTGAGAAGTTTGCAAGTTCTTGATCTTGGTGACTGCCTTCTAAAGACTAAAGGAGCCAGGTCAATTGCTGAAGGCTTAGCAAAGGGTCATGATGGCCTTGAGGTCTGTTGCATACCATTTTAACAGTTCACAATTTGCATATTCTTAGCTTTAACATATTCTCACAAAATTCACATTGGTATTTTGTTACAGGAGTTGTGCCTGGATCACAATGAAATGCATAAAGAAGGAGCTCTGGCTATAGTAGACTCCCTGAAGAAGAAGTCAAAACTTTCCAAGCTGAACCTCAATGGAAATAACTTTGGCAAGCAAGGTTGTGATGACATCAGAAAGAAGCTCACTCCCATAGGAAAGATTGATGCACTCCTTGATCTTAAGTATGCTCACCATTTTGCATTGAATTTCATATGCACTCTTGAGGATGTAAATTCAGGCTCCTTTACTTGATTCTCAATGCTACTGATGGCTTTACCTTTCAATTGAATTTATAGCATTTACATTAAGGATGCATTGAGCCAGGTTTACCCAATACCAATACCTCCCAGTGGCTGTCAAACTCAGAAATGAAATGCTCTAGTCTTGGATTCCTGTGATTTCAATCAGGAGATGGAGAAAGGCAAGAGAGACCTGTGACCATGTCAATCTTTTCCTTATTCAACATGTTCCTCTCAGAAGAATAAATGGTGCCAGAGCAGCTAAACTCTCTCTGAAGGCATAATTATTGGAGGAATCATGGTATGCAGAAGCAGAGGATCAGATCAGCCATATTGATATCAGCTGATACTGATTCTGGCTGATACCACTACAAAGTATCTGTATCAGTGCATCACTGATTTACATTATGAAAGATTGATGGGAGGGTTTTCTATGAACATTTATTGATTTTTCTGAAAAACATGCCACGAAGAGGCAAAATTACCATGCTTAAAAATTGCCTCTCAATCATGATTGTATGATGTATGTTGAAGCATTGTTACACTCAGGGTTTTTCCCCCCCAATTTTCAGCATTACAGTCCTGGAATTGCTCAAGTCACTCAAAAGTAAATATTGCATTTTCTCTGTTTTAGTGAGGATGAGAGTTGTGATGAGAGTGAAGAGGAAGATAGTGCTGATTTGGTTGGTACCATTCAGCCAGAGCAGGTGAGCAGTTCTTCCTTTGAAGTTCTTTGTTCTTTGTGTCTTATTTTTGATGTTGCCATGGATTTGCTTTGTCTTTCAGTGCACACCTGAGGCTTTCTTTTCACACCCCTCAGCCTCCAAATTCATGGGTCTTAGTGGTGATAAAGCCACAGTCCTTAGCCAGTACCTGCATAAACAGGTGAATATCATTTATGTAATTCTGTGCAACAGAAGCATTTTTTCATTCATCTGTTAATTTATGTCTTTTTATATTTGGTCAGAGAGGAGAGCTGGAGGATTGGGTGCCCATTCAGACTGGATTTCTGATCAGGTTGGGTTCCCTAGCAAGTGAGCCCAGCATTAGAGATGATGTCATCCAATGCCTCAAGCTTCTTCTCAAACAGATGATGGCTTCTTTCAGTCCAGATGATCATTCCCATTTCACAAATACAGTGTTGATTTATTCTGGTCTCATCAAGGTGAGATTTCATACCTGTATCATTCCTCCTTTGATGATGGATTCATATGAAAGCATACATGTCTCTTTGACAAGCAGAGTGAAGACAAGTCCTTCCGAGTGATGTGGAGCATCGAGGGTGTGGGGATTGCCATGGAGTCTCTCGTCAAGGAGGCCTTATTCCCAGGCAATACTTGCAAAACCCTTCAGCTGTTTCTTGGAAGGTTAGATTTTGCATACTAGTGGCAGTGCTTCAACACAGGTTGTATTGAAAGAGTCTCATTTAACTCCAACTCTCAATTGCAGGCCTGCTGTGCGTGGTGACAGAAAGAATCCATTTGATGACTTCCCACAAGTGAAGCATAGACTCTTGCAGGCTCTTTTTGCATTCTGAAATTCCTGTCATTCTGAGTTGGGGAAATTGCAAACAGGTGCCAATCTTCAGTCAAGCTTTTCTGGACAAGAGCCTTGATCCAGGGTGATACCTTCCTACTATTGATGAAGCTTGATCCTATCTTGTGATCCTCTTTCATAAGATGACTTGGTGGGCCTGTGAACCCTCATCGGCAATTTTTTAAAAAGTAAATTGAGTGCTTATGGGTCCATTGGCAGTTTTCTTCTTCCACTCACTGTCATATATGAAATGGTTCATAAAGGCAACTAATGTGGTAGTCATACATTAAACCTTATCCAATGTTGATCAGATTGTTCATAAAGCTTGGAAAAAAAAAAATCATTGTGGAGCATTTGTGGATTTAGCACAGCAAATGGGAAAGTGCCATGCCACATTGCTGGCCAATGACCCATGTTGGCTCTATCCACTTACATTTCATGATAAATTCCAACCCAAATTACTATTGAATAAGGATGCAAATGGTGAGCAGGCTGATGTGCAAACCTTAGAAATTATGAAGCAAAAGTTCTAAGGAGAAAAATAAAATCCTCCTAGGGAGCGGCCCCGCATAAAATATGCCACTGTCTAATTAGCATAATTAAAAACTTTTCTCCTAATGAGAAAGAACATTTTTCAAAAAAAAAAAAAAAAAAAAGTCGGGTTTGGTAGAAAAACCTTCTCAGTTCCACGTCGGAAAAATATGTTCTGGAAAAGTCAGAACACTTACGCAAAGCAATGGTGTGCCCGGCGTCTTTATTTTATGAAGCAAAATAAAATTCATGAAACAGCATAAAGAAGACATGAATTTTGTCCTTACCTGGCATTTGCGTCAATGAAACAATTATTTGCCATCTTGCAGCAACTGTTTCATCGAGTTTTAAATAAATTCGCTCGTCTTGCATGAAGGCTGGATGTGTTGCATCATTTCACACCAAGAACGCCTTTTCTCACCAACTTTTAATTTATTTAACCTCTCCGTTACGAGCACCGCCTTTGAAACCCCCTTTTCCCCTTCAGTTCGCCCCCTGTTTGACGTAGAGAGGTTTCGACTGAATGATATTCTTATCGCATGCGAATTTTCATGACTTGGTCGAGTCCAGATTTTGCTACTGTTTAGGTGCAACAAACCAAGATATAACATTTGATTGACAGAAAATGCTTTGTTCATTCTCGTATCATTGGGAAGCCCTGGGGGAAAAAAAGTACACCCTTGAATGAACTCATTCTGGTTTAAATTTTTACAATTTTAGAGTTAACTTACTTTTACCAAATACGGTAAATATGGTGGCAAACTTTCATTCCCTTTTAGCTTTTATTTGCATTTTCAAGTTAATTCTGGAGCATGCCTGTGATTAAGCTAACCCGCAAGGCTTCGGCCACCACGCAGGGACACACGAAGCAAAGGAATATAGAACATAGGCAGCTACAGTGCCGGAAAATTATGCATTTTTGCATTCAAAACTTTATTAATGATTTTCTCATGCGGTAGAATCTGCAGCAGGAGAAAATTTCCAGCAGATTTTCTGCACGGAATGTTGCATAGTATTTAGGCTTTCGTGGGGGATATAACGCGAACATAATTCTTGTCTTCGCCTGCAATGCCCTTTCTCGACCTTTGTTGACATTTCCAGGGAATCCATAATGCATTTTCTGGCCCTGTATGTACCCCCACATTTCACCTTTACCGAGTCCACCCAGACTCCAGTTTGAAAGTGTCTTTTTCGACCCGGGACTGAGGGATGTGACCGCGAAACAAGTGCAGAGCCTCACAGTCTTGGAAGAATCCCTCCGTCTCCAGATCGGGTGCCGATATTCCTTCTCTTCCCTGCTTTGCATCGTCGATCTTTCCATCATTCTTTCTCCTTCTGTCTTCCATCTTTCTTTTCTCTCCAACGATTGCAACCCTCCTTCACGACGAATCCAATCGTGTGGGGCGCTTAGCTTTCTCTCCTTGAATCTCCTGGGTTTTCATCGAGCGAGCACTCAGCCGAGAACGAACACACGGATCGCTTTTCCTCTCAGATTATCGCTCGCATTTTCAAGACGAAGGTTTCCTGGATCGATCCCCATGCTTTCTCCTTAATGAAAGCTATCGACGCAGGAATTTCTTCTTTTTTTTATCTTATCACCACTGCACGCACAGAGGCGATGAAATCATCAAGAAAGATATCGATCGCCACGAACGCGCTCGTTTTCTCTCGTTTCCATCGCTTCATCAGCGTCTTCTCTGCGAAGAAGGAAGTCTTCGGAGATGTTCTTGACTTTCGAATCCGGATTCAGTCCTGTCGAGTCCTAATTTCTATTCGGTCGTGTATCGACAAGTACGCTTCTCCTCGTATCTCTCTTCTTCACTCGAAGCATCGCGTGTAAAATGGAACGGAATCGAAACCTGCGCATCGATGTAAACACCAGACGGAAAGAAAATCAGCTGTCTAGACCAGCGGTTCTCAAACCGTGGGTCGCGAGAAATTCCCCATCATAAAAAACATTATCTGCATCCGCTCAAGTTAAAACATGCACTGCAGATAAGGTCACTGAGTTTTCTTCACGTTATAATTACTTTGAAAATACCTCGTTCTGGATTCCGGTTGGTCATGAAATTTTCAGGACTTCGGCAAGTGGGTCACGATTCAAGTCTGGGAACCACTGGTCTAGACGGAACAAGAAAGCTGGATTTGGAGCTGTTTCCGCAAACGGGCTGGCCCGTTTCCTTTCCCATCAGTGAATGCGAATCAATTTTAAAAGGAATATTCGAACTATGAACCAACCAAAGAAACAAGGGAATTGACTTCAGCGAGCTGCAAACCATTTTTTGCTCCGGAGCCAAATTTCAAACCCCCCTTTCTCAGCCCCTTTTATCTTGAAATCCAAGGTTTTTAGCTGTTCTTAGCACTGCCGTTCTTCGTGCCAAATGTGATTTAATTCTGAGATAGTCAAGCACAAGACCGCCCAAATTTTTGACACGCATAAGCTGAAATGACCCCAATCTGAAAAACACTGAAATCTATGCGCTGCAAGAACATCACCAAAATGTTACGATTTTGACAAATCGTTACATTTCGTAATGCATCACTGTATGAAATGTTCTTGTATTTTTCATCTACACGCAGTATGATTAGCAGAATAAAGGCAACCTCGTAGTAGAAGTGAATTTTCGAGTGAAATACAGGGTGATTATAAGGAAACTTCCGCGCTTCAGTGCATAATATCGCTTAATCGGTATGACACGAAGCTGAAATTGCACACGGGCGTTACGGGGACCTTGCGCTCAAGGATGCCACAGTTGCCACCAGAAGCGCCACTTTGGCACATTTTGCATATTGCCTGTACTCTCGGGGGTATAAATAGGACTACCGGTCGCAGTTCAGCTCAATCAACCAACATGAAGCCGTTGAGTCTGCAAGAGGTGAATTGGTGAAATTTTACCTCACCCAAGGAAGCGATTATCCGGGAAATGGCCAGCCCATCAGATGAGATGCGCGTTGCCGCTGTAATATCCGTTGTGAAAATAGCAATCAAGATACGTTAACTAAAACAGGATGGAACACCGTGTTTATAAATCCATATCTCTGTGCTCAATTGTTTTTTTTTTGCAATACAGACAATTTTCGCTATCGTCTCGCACGCATCCGAAAGTTTTGAACAACCTCCTCTATGCTCATCATCAGGCGAATTTATGAGTGTTCTTGATACAGTATCTGTCGATACGTTCTCTTCTCGTTTTGGAACCTTGAAGTTCTGCATGAAACATAAATCTTGCGTTTCGTCGCAACGAGAAGGAAGTCCACACAAGCCGTCCGATCCAAGCAGTAGATCCGAACCCTCCCGCATGCATGTATGCAGCGGATCCCCCCGATACCGTAAATGGAATGCATCGCCTGGATGAACAACCCCCACGAGATCGGCGGATATGTAGAAACCCCGTCGAGAGCCCTTGTTCCACTCGGCGCGCTTAGACGGTGACCTTTCGCTTCCTCCGCTGGGCGAAGATCGTCTCAGAGATTAAGTGTCCCCAAGGCCCTCACACTTGAGCTAGAGGAGTTAATCCCTTCCGTGTCAAAGAGTAAAATCAGATGATTTATCTTCGTGCAGAGAACAGTTCAGGCCATCCATGAACAATTTTTCGGATCATTTCAAAGGTCTATTTTTGCTCCGTGTCAATGATTTTCAACGTAACGCCGTCCTTGGCTTTTACAGAGGTACAGCCGATCGTGGCACGGAGACTGAAGCCGAATTTGCATCTCGATCTCGGACGGGATGTCAAAACATTATTTTTTAGGTCTCCGTGTCATTATAGAAAAAGGTAGAATGAAAAACGAGACAGTGAAGGGAAAGGAAGCCTTGAAAATGTCCGAAAATGGAATGTGTCTCTGTTCCCTTCCCTGTTCGGCGTTTATATTCACGTTTGCCCTTTTCAAGTCCATTCCGTTCTATTCACGATCTGTGCAAGATGGAGATACGAAGAGGAACACACTTATTAACGCAAGACTGGAAGGGATTACGGACCAGGCAGATGCTCGAGCAACGGAGTCTCGCGAGTTACGGAACCCCAAGGACTTCTTCTTTCGGACGAACGATCGCGTTCGCGTCACGATGAAAGTTGAGAGAACGCCTTCGGAGTGATCGATGACTCGATCGCTTCTCGACCCGTTAGAGCAGGATTTTTTTTATGTAAAAATATTTTGATGCCCTAAGGCGATTCATTGTCTGATGAGGCAGTTGTAGCAGATATGGTAGAACTTGAAGTTTTACCATGCATCTCGATGGCATGAAGCTATTAGAATGGCATTAAATTCGAATTCGGTGTAGCCCGAATGCTGCATAATGCAGTTTGGATCCAACCGCCCGACTGCCACACCCAAGAATGCTCGGGTGCACGCCTCCCGTGACTTGCGACACGTACCACTTTTTCCCAATTATGGATTCTCCCGGAGGAGATAAATCCTAACAATCTTGGAGAGCTGCAGGTCGTGTGGATGTAAATGCGCATATCTGCGTCGTGTCGCAGACTAGAACTTCTCCCACGCGGGGAAACGCGCCTACGTCCACCGCGACTCTAAAGATCTTCAAACGAGAATTCAAAGATGGCTTGGCTTCTCGTAGGCGCGAGAGCAAGTTACCTCTTCCAATGTGGATCGCGTGGAGCTTTATTTCCGAGAGGCGTTATATTCCTGAAGTAATCGCGGTAGCCGGACAACCGGCACGTGCACACTTCCCGAGAGTCTTATCCTGTTCTCTCTTATTCCGGCGGAAGGAGAATCCCTTATGCAGCCGCCACTCGCCACTTGTAGGTTCCTTCACGTTCTCAAACGGCGTGCTCCCCTTTTCATGACCGACTGCAAAAACCTTTC